TGTGTGTGTGTGTGTCTGTGTATGTACACGGGAGCAGCAACAGCCAAGAGACTGTCCTGACTGAGGGGTGTGTGTGTGACTGCGTGTGTGTATGTACACAGGAGCAGTGACAGCCAGGAGACTGTCCTGAGGAGTGTGTGTACGTGTGTATGTGTGTGTACACGGGAGCAGCAACAGCCCAGAGACTGTCCTGACTGAAGGTTTGGGAGATCAATGGAGGGGAGTCTGAAAAGGGTGAGGTTAGAAGGCAGCAGAACACCAAGCTGAATTGGCCAAAGGGGCCCTAGGGAGCCACTCGAGGTTTGGCAAGGGGAGCAGGGATCCTGCCCTCCAGGCCCTTATAATCAGGCGGGTGGGCAGCAGAAGCCCAAGGGTGCTAGCTCCATTCCCTATTAGGCAAAACGCAGAACCATCTGCACACTCCCAGGAGCAAGAACAGATATTTTATAACTTCCTTTTTTCTTTTTAAGTCTAAATTAAAAATAAATGTTCCCTTCAGTTCTCAGATGTATATCTCTGGTGCAACCTGTCCAACATTCCCTTCCACTACCCCTTCCAGAGCATAGCAGGGGGCGGGGAAAGAGAAGGCTAGAGAAAGGGAGCCAGCCCACCCGGCTTCCATGCCAGTGGATTGCACCTCTCCCAAGAGGGAAACGCTTCAGGCATGGCCACGCAGACTGGTGGAGAGAGCCCAGAATGCAGCTGGTACAAAGGCAAGTGGAAGGAGAGGGAAACAGGAGCCAACATGATGTCAAGCCCTGTCTTGCTGCAGGACCTTGGCCAAATCGCACCTCCTATCTTTGTTCCTATTTAGCTCATAACACGGCTGGGGTCCCCTCTGCGGCTACAGCCTCCTGGCTGCTGTCATCCTTGCATGTCTGCCTGTACCTATGCCGTTCGCCTTCCCCTTGGTGGCCAGTCGTGGAGCCTGGTGATTAACACTCAGGCTGTGGTCAAAAGAAGAGCTAGGCTCAAATCCTGGCTCCAGTACTTACCAGCTGTGTGACCACGGGCAAGTAACTTGAGCTCTCAGTTTTTTCATCTGTTAAATGAGGGCAATCATGGTACCATCCCAGAAGATCATGAGAGAAGGCAGCTCATGGGAAGAATCTGGCACATTGTCTGGCATGAAGCAAGTGCTCACTAGATGTTAGTTGTTAGTATCACTCCTCTCCTCCTATCTAGTTCTTTCCTAGCCTTGGCCAATCACTCCTGCCCACCACAGTCTCTCTTTTCTCTGAACTCCACCATCTGCATCATTCAGTTGAGCATCATCTTGTTCCCATCTCATCTTTGACGACGTCTTACCCCTCAAAGGATGGTGAGCTCCTAAAGATAAAATTGGGGTCTTCCTCTCTGATGTCCCCCAAAGCACTCTGCACAAAGCTGGGCTCACACTACAGACTGG